CACTAACATACAATTTTGAGGACAAGCTTTTGGGAAATGTCCCCTTCTTGACTGCTTAGGCCTGAAGAAGGGGACATTCCCTGAAAGCTTGTCCTCAAAATTGTATGTTAGTGCAAATAAAAAAAGTATCACGGACAGTACTCAATTGTTCCTGACGCAAATGCACTAATACGGCTACAATTGCCTCAAGCAAAATGGTTTATGTTGAAATATTTGCACTCTCAAGCACACGTGTGGTGCTCATCCTCTAAATGTTTGGGCTTTTTTAGGAAGAGACCACTCATGTATAGTATAGACTGGCCTGGAGTCTGTAGAAGACATTAGTTCAGGAAACCAGGACACTAGAGTTGTTGTGGAACTACAAGTCCCATGGGGCTTTGCAAGACTTACAGGCATGGTGCCCAAAAGTAGAAGCATGGTGGGATTTGTAATTTCAACTTAGCAGACCTTTGCAGAGCTACTTTGTGTAAGATAAATGCCGGCACAACCTAGCCGGATAATCAGCTTGGCTGGCACAGATCATTGACTGGCATCTCCTGCCACCGTTTACCAAGTCTGATGCCGCTCACCACTCTGCAGCAAGTTCATCCTCGGGAGCGACTCTTACAAAAGCTGATGGAAGCTGTGACTGCATCTCTGCTTCGTCTCCCCGAAGGCTCTGTGGCGCAGGAAGAAAGACAGGAAATAGAGACAGGTTGTTTTTTTAATGAGTAGAACTAGAAAATTTATATCCCATGTATTCTGGGAGCCTGCCACCAGTCCCCTATACAGCTATAGAGGACCTTGCTGCAACTGTAATCCTAGCCAAAAATCACATATTTTAAAAAAATGTGTTAGAAATGTTTATGAAACACAAACTATCTACACAACACTTTACAACCCTGACCATTCACACAAGTTCCTGCCTGCAAGGAGCTTACAGTCTAAGATCCCTACGTCACATGCATACATAGATACTAGGGACAATTATTGGGCAGGAGTCAGTTAACAGCAGACCAAAGTACCCAGAGGAAACCAGGGCATGCAAATATTGTCCTGGCCAGGATTTAAAGCAGGGATCCCAGTGCTGCAAAAGTGTTCACCACTAAGCTTCTATTATGCCCATAAAGCGTCCCATGAGCCATAAACAGTGGCGGCCAACAGCGCCCGCAGACATTATTATTATTATTATTATTATACAGTATTTATAAAGCGCCGATAGTTCGCTCAGCGCTGTACATTACAAAGGGGACAGAACATGTGACAGAACAATACCAATACAATGCAGACATCCCACAAGAGGCAGTCATGGGCCGCAGGCATCCCTCAAGAGACGGTCGGCGGCCGCAGACATCCCTCAAGAGACGGTCGGCGGCCGCAGACATCCCTCAAGAGACGGTCGGCGGCCGCAGACATCCCTCAAGAGACGGTCGGCGGCCGCAGCCGCAGACATCCCTCAAGAGACGGTCGGCGGCCGCAGACATCCCTCAAGAGACGGTCGGCGGCCGCAGACATCCCTCAAGAGGCGGTCGGCGGCCGCAGACATCCCTCAAGAGGCGGTCGGCGGCCGCAGACATCCCTCAAGAGGCGGTCGGCGGCCGCAGACATCCCTCAAGAGGCGGTCGGCGGCCGCAGACATCCCTCAAGAGGCGGTCGGCGGCCGCAGACATCCCTCAAGAGACGGTCGGCGGGCCGCAGACATCCCTCAAGAGACGGTCGGCGGCCGCAGAGACATCCCTCAAGAGGCGGTCGGCGGCCGCAGACATCCCTCAAGAGGCGGTCGGCGGCCGCAGACATCCCTCAAGAGGCGGTCGGGCGGGCGGCCGCAGACATCCCTCAAGAGGCGGTCGGCGGCGGCCGCAGACATCCCTCAAGAGGCGGTCGGCGGCCGCAGACATCCCTCAAGAGGCGGGTGGTCGGCGGCCGCAGACATCCCTCAAGAGGCGGTCGGCGGCCGCAGACATCCCTCAAGAGGCGGTCGGCGGCCGCAGACATCCCTCAAGAGGCGGTCGGCGGCCGCAGACATCCCTCAAGAGGCGGTCGGCGGGCCGCAGACATCCCTCAAGAGGCGGTCGGCGGCCGCAGACATCCCTCAAGAGGCGGTCGGCGGCCGCTGACATCCCTCAAGAGGCGGTCGGCGGCCGCTGACATCCCGCAAGAGGCGGTCGGCGGCCGCTGACATCCCGCAAGAGGCGGTCGGCGGTGACATCCCGCAAGAGGCGGTCGGCGGCCGCTGACATCCCGCAAGAGGCGGTCGGCGGCCGCTGACATCCCGCAAGAGGCGGTCGGCGGCCGCTGACATCCCGCAAGAGGCGGTCGGCGGCCGCTGACATCCCGCAAGAGGCGGTCGGCGGCCGCTGACATCCCGCAAGAGGCGGTCGGCGGCCGCTGACATCCCGCAAGAGGCGGTCGGCGGCCGCTGACATCCCGCAAGAGGCGGTCGGGCGGCCGCTGACATCCCGCAAGAGGCGGTCGGCGGCCGCAGACATCCCTCAAGAGGCGGTCGGCGGCCGCAGACATCCCTCAAGAGGTGGTCAGCGGCCGCACAAATATTGCTTAAGGGCCCCAGTTTGGGCACCAGGGGTCTAGGGAAACATCCTTGCTCAAGGTCAATGCAGAGACAGATTTTCCCTAGCAGTAAAATACCAGAAGGAGTTAAGTGTAGATCTGTGTCACTCAGTAACTTTAGAGCCGCGGCTGGTCTTCCTGTTAAAACAATTCAATGACTTTATAACTCTTGAAAGCAATCAGACCCAGCAGAATGGGGCCGCCACGTGCCAGTGGGCCAGAGGCGCGCAAATCCAGAATCTGTGTCCTTCATAGCTCTGCGGGAGAACCTGTTGTGTGCAATTTGCGCCCTACAAAAGAGAGGCACTTAGAAAACTCCACATTTTAATGCCCAATGAATATATTATGAATACTCCAGTGATTAACACCCCAGCTGCTTGTGTCTTTTGTAGAGCCGTTTTTTTCTTCTCTCTTGCAAAGGTTGAGGACTCTTGAACTATATGAAACCTGGGTGATAATTTCGCCTAATGGTTGAATTAATCAGCAGCACAGAATGTATGAAGCGCAGGGAGATGTCTGCAACCCCCCCCCCCCCCCCCCCCCCTCCAAAGTTCCCATTAGATGAAAAGCACCCTGTGTTATAATGATGAAGAGTCCTCCTATCGTCTTGAATTTATACTCACCTGTGCAGAATAGTACGGAACTCTCTGATCAGTGGACCCGAGGGATTCAGGCTCTTTTACAATCTCCCCCCTCCCTGCCACATGCTTGAAATTGTTATAGTGAAAAGAATACTGCATTGCTGCATTGATGTTGAGCTTGCATTGTAAGGGCTGCAGGTATCTCGCGTAAATTAAACTGCAAAGCTGAATACACCAGTGTTTTACCTGCTGAAGGATTTCTATTTCTGTCCATCCATTTTTGAGTTATACAGCTCTGCTACACAGTACAGCCCTGTCTGGCAAGGTGGGAGACCTGATTTTTTTCTGCTGGAGTTAAGTAACATTTACAGGTCCCCTCCACACCCCCAGCATATGATTGGCCAGTGAAAGGTAAAGCTGTAGACCGCTGAGCTCATCTATCACTCTACTCTCTCCTGCTGTCAGCATGCTCCTTGGGCTACATCATAACCCATGTGCTTGTTGTGCTGCCTTCCCCAACATGTATTCTGTTTTTCAGGGCTTTTAAAAGGTAATAGCAGGTTAAATTCAGGTATTTACACTGCTTGAATTTTAGGTAGAATGTAGTCTCTTTAAAGACTTTAGCATTAGGCCCCCTTCACACGGGATTGGACTCCGCTTGCTCAGCGGGGGATCTGTCTGCTGATACCCCGCTGAGCAGAACAGGCAAATAACAGGTCCATGTCTGCTCCGCTTATGCAGAGTGAACATGGACACAGCCCACTTTTCTTTATGGGCAGTCGGATGTAAACAGACACTCAACTGCCCTCCAATCCGATTTGCCTAGATGGAGAGGAACGGATCCCCTTCTGTTTGTTTTTAGTGGATCGGATTGGAGGTAGGCAGGTGTAAACGGAAACAGGTTTGTTTACATCCGCCACTCCATAGAGGAGAATGGAGGGTCTGATCGGACTGCTCGTGCAAAAAGGACCTAACCGTACCATGTATTCTATATTAAGCGTGTAATTGTATATACTGGCATTAATATGTGTTACATATCCGCTTCCTGCTTCGTAACAGTTTGCAGTAATTGCACTTTACTGTTCCTCACGATCCGCCTCCTCGGACTGATTGTACACGGTAGATGTTCTGCTTGACCGTTTGATCTTATATCAGTAGTTTTTAAATTAGATGTAAACAATAATACAATAATAATTGATCATCGGAATCTACAGGAGAATGTGACTTTTCTGCTCTGTATTGTACACTATATGGCCACATGGTTGTGGATGTTTGGCCATAGCATCACTGTGTTTCCTAAACCATGGACATTATTATGGAAATGCTCCTCTTTGTAGCTCTTCTGGGAAGGCTTTCTGCAAGACTTTGGAGGTTGTTTGTTGGAACTTGTATTCCTTTGGCCAAAAGAGCATTTGTGAAGTCAGGTTCTAAATGTTAGATTAAGAATACATGGTTCACAGTCAATGTTCCAATTCATCCCAAACTTGTTCAGTAGGGTTGAGGTCTGGGCTCTCTCCAGGCCACTCATTTCCAAAGTCTTCAAATCATGTCTTTATGGAGCTGGTTTTGTAAACAGTAGGATGTCTTGGTGGGACAGAAAAAGGTCTTCCGCAAACTGTTACCGCAAGTGTGGAGGCGCACCATTTTCTAAAATGTCTTTGTAAGTTGTACAGTAACAGAACCCTTCACTGGAAAAACTGGAACTCCATTATTGGGTTGTCCACATACTTTGGCCATATAATGGATGGCTTGTCCGTATACTTTGGCCATATAATTCAAATCCATAATGATAACGATGAACAATTTATGTTTCTTTTTTATTTTGAGCTGCACATTATGTTCTAACTATTGTCCCGTGTATATCCTTTGCAGGTCCAAGCCAATGTGGAGAAGGCTCTGAATCTGTTTGGGCAGTTGCTGAACAAGAAGCATTTCCTCCTGACTTTCATCCGCACTCTGGAGGCTCAGCGCAGCTTCTCCATGCGAGACCGCGGCAATGTGGCCTCGCTCATCATGACGGCACTGCAGGGGGAGATGGAATATGCCACAGGTGTCCTCAAGCAGCTCCTATCTGACCTAATCGAGAAGAACCTTGAAAGCAAGAACCACCCCAAGCTATTGCTCAGAAGGTAGGGTACCTGTTGTGCAATAATAGAGCACCATGCAAAAAGTGAAACTCTAGACAAACTTTTTTTCCTGTGGCTTTCTCCTTTCTGGAGATTTCTCACTTTGTCATCCTCCTTCCGCGTGTTTCAGAGTGGGATCTGGTCATGCTATGTCTTGGGTCTGGAATTCCCAGCCACAGCAAAGGGATATGGGGGTTTGGTGTGGTCTTCTCAAGGTTGAGCCATGCTTTTTCTTGACCATGATATAAATGTTGTCCAAGTGCAGCCATTAGGCTAGAGTCACCTAGGTAATTTTAAACTCTTGCTATTTGAGAGATGTAAACACCTACTGGCAGTAACCTCATTTGTCTAAGATTTAACCAGAGATATTTAGTAGCTCAGTCCCGCTACTAAAATCTCTAGCATTTAATCATTGACTGCAAATGATCACTATACAAATGACTGTCTGTGGATTCATCTAGATACACAGGTATTATGTAGAACAATCTTTCTCAGCCTTTAACATGGAGGGACTACTGGCCTCAGAGAACCCCTTACACAGCTTATGGGATATTAGTGTGAAGAGAAAGTGGTAGATATAGTTGTGCTCATAAGTTTGCATACCCTGGCACAAATCATGAAATATTGGCATTGATATTGAAAATATGACTGATCATGGCAAAAACTGTCTTTTATTTAGGGATAGTGATAGCATGAAGCCATTTATTGTCACATAGTTGTTTGGCTCCTTTTTAAATCATAATGATAACATGTTCGGCCTTGGTACAGACACACAAGGTGACGCACACAGGTTAAAATGGCGATTAAATGTTAATTTCCCACATCTGTGGCTTTTTATATTGAAATTAGTGTCTCTGTATAAATAGCCACTGAGTTTTAGATCTCACATGAATGCACTGAGCAGGCTAGATAATGAGCCATGGTGATCAGAAAAAGAACCATCAAAAGACCTGCATAACAAGGTAATAGAACATTATAAAGATGAAAAAGGATATAAAAAGAGATCTAAAGCCTTGAATATGCCAGTCAGTACTGTTCCATAATTTATTAAGAAGTGGGAAATTCAGGGATTTTTTTTTTTTATACCAAACCAAGGTCAGGTAGACCAAGAAAGGCTGCAGCCTCAACTGCCAGAAGAATTGTTCAGGATATAAAGAAAAAACCCACAGGTAACCTCAATAATACAGGCTGCTCTGGAAAAAGACATTGTGGTTGTTTTGAAGCAGCACAATATGACGATATTTGAACAGAAATTAGCTGCAAGGTTGAGCTGCCAGAAAGAAGCCTTTACTGCGCCAGTGCCACAAAAAAGCCTGGTTACAAAATGGCCGACAACACATTGACATGCCTCACCAGGATTTTTTGTGCATATTAAAATCACCCATGTACCTCTAGCTTTAAAGCAGTGGTTCTCAACCTTCCTATAGCCGCGACCCTTTTATACAGTTCCTCATGTGGTGACCCCCAACCATAAAATTATTTTCGTTGCTACTTCATAACTGTAATTTTGCAGTGGGAGGAATAGTGCCCCATCATTGGTATCAGTGGGAGGAATAGTGCCCCGTCATTGGTATCAGTGGGAGGAATAGTGCCACATCATTGGTATCAGTGGGAGGAATAGTGCCCCGTCATTGGTATCAGTGGGAGGAATAGTGCCCCATCATTGGTATCAGTGGGAGGAATAGTGCCACATTGTTGGTGTCAGTGGGGGGGGGGGGGGGGTAGTGCCCCATCATTGATACTAGTATGGGGGGGGAATTGTGCCCCATCGTTGGTGTCAGGGGGGGAGGAATAGTGCCCCATCGTTGGTGTCAGTGGGGGGAGGAATAGTGCCCCATCGTTGGTATCAGTGGGGGGGGGGAGGAAATAGTGCCCCATCATTGGTGTCAGTGGGAGGAATAGTGCCCCATCATTGGTATTACTGACCTCAATGATGGGGCACTATTCCTCCTACTGACACCAATGATACTTACCTTGCTGACTCCTGCTCCAGCCTGGGCTCGCTCCCTCCCTCTCCCATCTACAGCCAGCATACCTGACTACAGAAGCACCATCTGCACGCTACAGACACTTACCTGTCAGCTGTCTTCCTTCCCTGGCCGCTCCCTTGCTCGATCTGCTTTGATCTTTGCGCGCTGCTGCTCAGCTCTCCTCCTCCTCGGCCTCACTGGCGAGGAGGCGGAGCTGTTGAGTGATCCCGGGGATGTGGCCAGATGACAGGGGCGGCACATCCAGGGAAATGTGGACGTATCCGCATGTGGGCGGACCCGCCTGAAAACTGATAGAGGAGCGGTGTCTCGGTTCCTAAGACCATCGGAAATATGTGTTTTCCAATGGTCTTAGGAGAACCCTGTGAAAGGGTTGTTCAACCCCCAAAGGGGTCGCGGCCCACAGGTTGAGAACCGCTGCTTTAAAGGAAGGCCAATGGATCATTGGATGAACACCCTCATACAGTCCCCAGCTGTAAAAAGGAGCGACTTGGCGCACACAGAATTTTCTGACAGTCTGTAGCCTGTAACAACCAATCATATTCTCCCTTTTCTTCTCCCAGCGTAGTAAGAGTGAAAGGCTGATGGCTGTAGACCAGCCATTCTCCAAACCAGGATTTGTGGAACCCTAGGCTTCCCCCAGAGGTTGCTAGGGGTTCCTTGAGGCTGATTGACATTCCATCTGATGGTGCCTGCATGATTTCAGGTTCAAGGCTACTTGGTGGGCAGCGCCAGCAGGATGACACCAATGATCTTTTTGGCTTTCTATAATAGGTGTATGTTGATCACCACTGTAAGTGTGTCATTCTTCCCATTGACCATCAGTGTAAGGGGCCTTCTGTCCACTGAACTCCCAATGAATCGGGTTTAGCAGGGGTTCCTTGAGTCCTGAAAATTATTTCAAGTGTTTGTTTGGGAGTATAAAGATTGTAAAAGCTGCTGTAGACAGTATTCTTCCCTCAGACACTGTACACCCCCAGCGTCCACACCACAGATGGGCTGCAGGGCCCATTAATGACAGCCCGTCATTGGTCCCATCCCGAACACAATGGCGGGCACAAGTGAAAATGATTAAAAAGGGAGCCTGCGCAAAATCAATCCCCGCAGCGAGCCGGCACTGAAAGAAGAATTAAACACAATCACATCGATTTCCGAATGCAAAAGCCCAGGTTCTGCTAAAAAATACATTATCTTCATTAATTCAATATCTTCCCATCCTCTCTCTATTGATCACCGGCCCGGTGACAGAAATTGCACTTCAAGGCTGTGTGACGGTCGGAGCTGGCTGTAAATGAAGCTCTTAATGCTTATTTATTGCCTCTCTGCTACCTATCTGTGTCAGCTCCTTCCAGGGCCGCTGGAAGCAGCCATCGGCATGCGCGAGCCGTCCAAGAACACCGCTCCAGTATTCTGCAACGCCGCCATACCACCTCTCCCAGAGCGTGAACCTTTATGTCCCAATAATAACAGTTATTAATAACTGCATGTAAAAATTTTAAAGAGACCAACTTAAAATGCATGTAAAGCACAGAAAATAAAGCATGATGCTTTCTCTTTTACTTGCAGCATGTTTCTATAAATTATTTTTTTATTCACATGCAATGCGCCTTTGAACTTGCTAGAAAACTTTACCAGTGCAGGAAGAGTCAGTTTCCTAGAAAAGTTCACTGCCTGCTTGTACCTCATAGCCCTCTTTTCTGAGAGTGTGCAGTTATTGTCTGTGCTGGCCCAGGTCCTCCCCTCAATCCTACATAAGCTTTAATTTAGAAGCTGGAGGAGGAGTGAAGAGGAATATTATGGAGCCCTAGTGCCCAACCTGCAGCCCAAGGGCCACATACGGCCCATTGCAAACCCCAGCAGTCATTAGTGGAAGCGTTCTTTTGTAGAGGCTATGACACTGATCCAGCAGTCTCACGTAACTTGTCCTCAGTCTCTGTCTATATCCTGTAGAGTGTGTCTTCAGCCTCCAACCACCCCAATTCTGCAGTTTCTGATTATCTCCTCTAGTAGTTCTAAAGTCTCTCTTATACTGAATATTATGTGCGGCCCTTTGTAGCCACTGCTGAGGCCTCCATATATCTTGTAAGTTTACAAGCACTGCTATAGAGTGTCATTTAAATGAGAAAACTGCCTTCTATTATAACATTAGAAGCAATGCATCCAGATTGGTGTAACCTCGGTAATACCTTGGGAACTGATCCTGAATCTCATGCTATGGGAATAGCCTGTAATGTTGCTTTGGCAATGGATCCTTCTTGGGCACTCACCTTGGCACTACAAAAGTAGGGATTTATAACTTGACTTTGTTGTTTCATTTTCTATCTGCCTAGTTTTATTTTTCTTTGGGGGCTTGTCCGGGATATGAACCAAAGACCTCTCGCAACCCAAGCGAGACTCATACCTCTAGTTCATGTTTGATGTGACCCTGTTGCCAGACTGTTTATGTAATGAAAAATCCTCCCTTAAGATTATATGTGCATTTTTTGTGTATTTAACTGTAAAAGCTTCCCTGGTGTACACCTTCAAAAGCCTTGATACTGCTGCTGAAAGCCACCATCTTGGATGTGGTGTAAGCAGACTCAGAGTTGTCACTCAAGTGACACTCTACAGCAGCCTTTCCCAACATATATAATAATTTTTAGGTCTTGGGCAACCCTTACTAAAACCAGTTATTCCGGGTTCAGTGGGAAACATGTCTGTTATATTTGTGGTAAGTAGAAAGAATGGAACCCATACCATGGTGGTCAGAATGCCCCCCTAAATACAGATAAACAGATCATTATTGTCTTGTTGCTGGATTTGCTAAGTGGTTTTGGTCCCAAAACTATGCAGGCTTCATCAAGGTGGAGGTAATTCATCCACAGCTGAAGGAACCCCTAATAACATTTGAAGGAGCCCTAGTTGAGAATGGCTGCTAAGGCATTTTCCTTCACTCCCCCCACAGCTATTTAAAAGGTTGTGAAGGGAGGGGCAGAGGAGCTGGGACAGCAAAGACAGTAAATAGGGTACTGTGACCTACAAGGAGGGAAATGGCAGTGCTAAAGGACTTTTTCCTTGGGTAATCAAATATTCTAGTAAGTTCAAAGGTACATTGCAAATGAATAAAACATTATTTATGGAAAGGAAAAACACTGCAAGTATTTAAAATACTCAATTTATACTGCAATTGATCTAGTTTGGTGACAGGGTCACCGTAATTAAGAGCACTCCATGTAAACAAAATCTGTTCTATAGAAGGAACTTCAACCTTCTCAGTAGCCCAGCACACAGAGGTTATCAAACCAAGAGATACGATCAAAGTACACTCAGTCCATTAGCAGCGGCAGATCAGTGTTTGCCATGTCTGACAGGGAACCGTATAGCAATCCTTAACCAGTTTGAGCCCCACAAGTCCCCCGAGGACAGGAGGGATTAAGCGGTGTGATCTTCCTCTCCATGAACCGGTCCTATTTAATGGTGCATGAATCCATCTCATTATAGCCTTCCTGGCTGGTTACAGCCATGTCCCCTTTGACTTTTGATGTCGGCTTCCTTTCGTTGCTTATTACAAAACTACGGCCTGCACTTTTTAGGCTCCCTGGGGCTGGTTCAGGCACACAGAAGGAGACGAAATGTAATTTATATTGAGATCAATGAAAAAGCTGCTCGTTCGCCTCTGGCTGGCTTGTTGATTGTTACAGTTCTGGCGTCTGCGTGATGCCGACGGTGAAAGCCTTTGACGAGAGAGACGGGGGTGCCACCCAGGTCTTCGCCAGGCGGTTTGCTTGGCCAGAGACCCCCTCCCAATTACGACATACATTTGCACCTTTAAAAAAAATATATATATATATGAAATTCAGATGCTTTATATATGCTGATCTCCTTAAGGCCCAGACTTGATTTTTATATTTTCCATTTTGTATTTTTTATATCCCATCCCTGGGCAAATGTTTTCTCTTTTAATCCATTCACAAATTTAAAAAAACACTTTTTTTTTAAATTTTATTTTTACTCCCATAAGTCCGCCACCGTGTGGCCTTCCGCAGCAGGAGTGGTGACCAGCAATTCGCCGCTGCAGTCCAGGCCTGCTGCCAAGCTGTCTTGTTGCTGTCTCTCGTCGACATACAAACACCCTGAGACTGTCGCTGGGTGACGCATCTTGGATGTGATTTCACCGTCCCCTGCAGACTCATTGACACTAGATTCTATTCCCCTTCACTCCTTTCCTCTGACAGATGCATAAAAGAATATACAGGGAGGTGAAAGGCAAAGGAGCTGGGCCAGCACAGACAATAATTGGACACTCCCAGAAGAGGCCAGTGTTGTGGTATTCAAGGATAATGGGGGCTGTACTAGGGTATAGACTCTTCCTGGAGTAGTCACATTTTCTTGGAAGTATAAAGGCAAGTGGGTAAAATAGTATTTTATAACCAGAGTGATGATCTGTGATTGAGCGCTGCAATCCAGGTCTGCTATTCTAGGGGGTTATGTACTAAAACGTGAGCATGTAAAATCTGGTGCATCTCTGCATAGGAACCAGCTTCCAGGTTTTTGGGGATTTTTTGGCCAAAACTTAACTGAACAAGCTGAAGTTAGAATCTGGTGCAGCTGTGCATGGTAGCCAATCAGATTCTGAGTGCACTGGGTTTTGTAATTCTCCCCCATAGCTTCGTTTAACGCCCTAAGAATTATTGAACTGGTTTTATATGTTGGCTGATATATTTTATCACATAAGTAAATTGTTAATTTAAAGGGTCAACTTTCTGCTCCAACCAACATTGGAAGGCATGACTGCTGAGTCACCATGTAGATATAATGGCTGTGCAGGCTTTTGGGGTATCTTTGGAGCCCAATGAGGAACCATCAAAGTCTGAGAATCTGTTGCTTTGTCTCTCTCTCTTAGGACGGAGTCCGTGGCGGAAAAGATGCTAACAAACTGGTTCACCTTTCTTCTCTACAAGTTCCTAAAGGTAAGATTCTGTTTAATACCTTCACTGATATTGTAATACAGTAGTATAACATACGGTGCAAATGATAGTCCAGAATAATTATGAATGGTAAACCACAATATAATTGAAAAATGGTGACTTGATATAACCCCAGTGGAACCTGTGATCCAGTGCAGTGCAGGAATTAATAAGTAAATTGCACACTCACCAGAGGCACAATTTAGCTGCGCAATTGTGCCATATACACCAGAGGTCCCTTTGGTTGTGGATGGAGCGTGGCCTGGATTGGATAACTCCGCGATGAATAATGGAACGTCTGGGGGTCCCCTTTATAAGTTTGGTTCACAATGGGTTCTGCTGATTACAGCTCTCTTCTAGGCCCTGGGATGGTCACCTGGTGGTCCTGAGGAATTAAATGCTCGTAGTGGAGCAGAAAGGAGTACTCATAGTGTAGTATTTTCAGTTGAATCAAAAATTGAATTTATTCAGGATAAAAATAGAAAAGGCACACTTCTCAGGTACTGTAATACGAAAACAATCCTCATTCACAGAGGACATAATAAAATTGAATACAGCATAACACTGACAGCAGCTGGTAAAAAAAAAAGGGGGGGGCGCCGGACCTCCCTGATCCGGCGGCTTGATGTCACGGCTAACAAGGGCTACTCCTTGACGCACGTTTCGTATCTCACGTACATCATCAGAAGGGTAAGCGCCATAGCTGCTGGACGTCAGGATAGCTATATATATATATAGTGTGTGTTTGTTACATCTTTTTTTTCTTCTGTCTGGTAGAACTCAGTTGTGCTTAGATCAGTGAACTGACCTCCATAACTCATGTCAACCAATGAGATGTCGACGAAACTTAAAGCCGAATTCCAAGCTATTTTTTTGTTTTTAAAATGTCCTCCAGCAGCATTGAAAATGATAAAACAGCAAGTTTTGCTAAAGTACTCACCTTCTCTCCAGCACTGTCCCCTTTAGAAATTCCTTTTTGACGCAAGAAGTCCTCAGTCCTTAGGGTTAAATGACGTCCAGGCGTAGTGCGAGTGCAGGACGTCCTGGACCCGTCTTCTGAGGGGGCGTCATCATGGTGCCTTGCACTCCAAGTAATGATGCGGAGAGTTGCACAGACATCTTCACCCCTGTGCATCATTGAGGACCACCAACTACTGTTAAAGAGGAGCGTTTCACCTGACTGTCCCAAAGACGTGGCAATGGTTAGTCACGGACTTGTCTTCTGAGGGGGGCGTCATCGTGGTGCCTTGCACTCCAAGTAATGATGCGGAGAGTTGCACAGACATCTTCACCCCTGTGCATCGAGGACCACCAACTACTGTAAAAGAGGAGCGTTTCGCCTGACTGACCCAAAGACATGTGGCAATGGTTAATCCTCTAATTATTTGATATGGGCAACAATGATAATCTAGAGAATAATGCAGACTAAACATGTGGCCCTTTGGGTGAGCCAATTCTGATAAGAGGAACAGGTCACTCATACAAAGCTATCAGGTTCCTCATATCTTCTGGTTAGGGTGTGCTGGTCATATCTAGTAGAAGTAAATTAAGTCAGGTGCCAGAAGGATGAAGATTTTATATTGATTGATTTAACAAAGAGCAGATGGTATATTCCCATCCAACAAACAAAATGACATTTCCTAAATCCTTTCATATACGCAGTGTTGGGAATGAGGGGTGGATGAGAGAGGCTTCTTTTTTCCACAATAAATATTGAGACACAAACTAATACAAAAATCTGTACTTATTTTTCCCTGCAATAATCTTAAAGTAAACCTTTTAATTTAGGATGGTCCAGCTTGGAAGTAAAGATTAGGGGCAGTCAAGTGGTGAGGCCAAGGTATCTGCCATATGCAGATGTTGGGTCATAAGAGCGCTGTAGCTTCGGTATGGGCCCACCACCTGACACAACGCATTGTGGGATGCGGCAAGTACATTCTCCAGAATTGGGTTCCCAAAGGCCACATTTGCTTACTGCAACCCCACAAGTTTTTTACGAGTAGGTAACCTGTAGGTGCTTACTTACTTCCTCTGGAGGCAAGTCAGTTGATAAAAAATCTACCATACTCTTGACTTGAATCGGAAGTACCTATACTGCAGTAGCGGCATCCACTTCAAGCCTATGGGGCGTTACTGCACAATTGTTACAGACGGGATGTAGACATGTGAAAGGTGAGTAAGGACTTGCATTGGGTTTAGCTTGGGGTTGGTTGGGGGGCTAGGGGAAGACTTATATAATTAGTGAACGTGTCCTTTCAGCTCTCAAGACTATACAATGGAACAAAACAATGGATGTCCAACATTACAGGCTTTTTTGTAGAAATAAGTGACTTCACACCGTCATTTTAATTCCAGGTTCTATTCCAAAGGGTCTGAATAGACTTCAAATTCTCACTGCCTTTTCTGTTTTATTCATTAGTCCTGAGACTTGACACAAGAGGCACCCAGTCTGGGTCATTCTTTGGCTTCCTGTTTACTTCTTGTAGTTTTCTTGCCTTGAAATACACATATTTTTTTAATGGACAGAGCCAGAACTTTCCTTTTAAGCTGAGTGGTTTAAAAAGCACTCACCTCCTCCGTAAAGACTGAACGTACCCATTTAGTCTGTAGTAAGCTGGTGAAAGCTCTCCTTTTTGTAGACCCCTGCTTAATATATACACCTACCTGGTCATTATGTGCTTTTTATATAACGCACCTTCAGTCTTTTCCCGGCCAGTGAATAGGAAACTCCTGCAGAGATCGAACACTTGTACATAGAAAGTGTTGCCTTTCTGTGACTTAATAACTCTGCTGTGTTTTCTGCATCTCTATGTACCCATGTTAGCTGTACATTTCCTAGATCCCGCCCATGTCACCAGTCTGTGCCCAGAGGGAGACATCCGGGATTCATGATTGGCATGGAGATAATTAGATATTGTAAATATAGAGAAGGATTGGGTGTGATGTTACTATAAACTCATTTTGATTCCACAAGATGTTGGCATTAAAGGACATTTCAGTAGAAATAAAGTGAAAACAAACATTTCATGGTCATGTATGTATTATGGTGATCATTCCATCTCTGCAACATTGCATGGCTGCAATAAGAGTTTGTGTGTGTTTTCTTTTCTGGGTACTTCAATGTCTTCCCACACTCCAAAGACATGATAGGTTAACAGGCTGCTGTCTAAATTGGCCCCAGTATGACTGTGCCCAAGACGGTTGCCTCACCATCTGCCCCAGCAGCAAATAAAGCACTTTGAGTCCCCATTGGAAAATTAAAAATATAGTAGTAAAATAATTAAACATTGCTAAGCTGAGCTATCCCTTTTATAAGAGCTTACTTACCTATTCCAATGGTGGGGCAGCCTCAAATGAAACCTTTTAATTTAAGATTATTATTATACAGTATTATATAGCGCCAAAGGGTTTGCTCAGCGCTGTACAGTAGCAAGGGGGACAGAACATGAGACAAGACAGTAACAATACAATACACGAGGGGTTCTAGGGCCCTGCTCTTTCGAGCTTACAATCTATGAGGGAGGGGAGGGTGGTACAGGAGGAAATGGCTGTGGGGGATGGAGTGGTGGTAGGAGTGGAGGAGGTCAGTTGTTAGGTGAGGATGGGGTAGGCTTCCCTGAAGAGGTGGGTTTTCAGGGTGGGGAGGGTAGGTGACAGTCGGATGGATTGGAGTAGGGAGTTCCAGAGGATGGGGGAAGTCCTGGAGAAATCCTGCAATCGGGCGTGGGAGGAGGAGACCAGGGAGCTAGAGAGAAGGAGGTCCTGTGAGGAGTGAAGGGCACGGGTAGGGTGGTATTTGGGTATCAGGTTGGTTAGGTAGTTTGGGGCGGTGTTGTGAATGGCTTTGTAGGTCAGAGTTAGCAGTTTGAATTTGATGCGCTGGGCAATCGGGAGCCAGTGAAGGGATTGGCAGAGGGGGTGGCGGATGTGGAGCGGTTGGTGAGGTGGATGAGTCTAGCCGCTGAGTTTAGGATCGACTGGAGTGGGGATAGTGCTTGTTTGGGTAGGCCAGTGAGAAGGGAGTTGCAGTAGTCCAGGAGTGAGATGATGAGGGAGTGTACGAGTTGTTTAGTAGTGTCTGGGGTGAGGAATGTGCGTATCTTGGAGATGTTGCAGAGGTGGAGCCTGCATGATCTTGAAAGTAATTGGACGTGAGATAGGAAGGAAAGGTTTGAGTCCAGGGTGACACCCAGGACTTTGGCATGTGGGGTGGGGGAGTGATGGTGGCGTTGTTAGTAGTGATGGAGAGGATGGGGGGGGGGGCGCAAGGTGGGGGGAAGATCAGGAGGTCGATTTTGGACAGGTTTAATTTGAGGAAATGGAGCGATATCCAGTCTGATATGTCGTTCAGGAGGTGGGCGGAGAGTGAGGGGGTGAGGTGGGGGGTGGAGAGGTAAATTTGTGTGTCGTTGGCATAGAGGTGGTAATTGAAGCCATGGGAGTGTATTAGTTTGCCAAGGGAGGAGGTATAGATGGAGAAGAGGAGGGGTCTGTGGACAGAGCTTAGAAGCGAAGAGCAGGGGAGGTCCAGTGTCTGTTGGTGAGGACAAGGTATCTGCCGTCTGCAGATATCGGGCCATAAGAAAGCTGTAGGTATGGGCCCACCACGTGGCACAGTGCACTGTGGGATGCGATGGGGACATTCTTCAGAATCGGTTCCCAAAGGCCACATTTCCATGCAGCAATTTTTTACTGGTCATTTTCAGTTCTAAGGTTAATTTGGTCATCTTAAAGTGAAAACAATCCTAAGCCGAACCATATCAATTGTAAATGATTACTTACCTCCTCCTGTGGTGGTTCAGCTGGTAAAAATGCACCATTCCACAGACTTGAAAGGGATGTATCCTTACTGCAGGGGCAATATTTAATTCAAGAGAAATGATAGAAAAATAGTGCAGCGCTCAAACCGGGATAAAATATATTATATCAGGTGACATATATATGATTGAAAGTGACTCACACAGCCGTACCTCTTATATACATAAATGGGCTGGTGATGACAT